ATTCGAGAAACGAACAAACCATCGATTGAGCACTGAACGATAAAACTTCGTTATGAATGCTAAAAAACACAGCAGTTTACTCAACAAAGTGCACCGCAACAGCACGCGCAAAATGGCGCGTACTGTCCAATTACAAGCATGACGCGTACACTGTCCAATTAATGCTCAAATCGGGCTGCTGATAGCCAATCACGTTCGAGAATTTTGTTATAGCTTTGATTAAGGTCGATTACCGAACAGTTCGATAGGGTGGTTTAGAGTAGCCTGCGAACACAGACGTATTTCCGGCTGTCGCTTGTCTCCGCCGAAAAATAAGGTCTGCGAATCGGAGCCAGGAAATGATTTCTGTGACGTAGAAATTCCAAGCCAATTACAGTTTAGCTCAAATGGCCCCAGAACTACTGCGCGAGGTATTCGCTGGTAGGAGCACTCGAGTTTCATTTTATCATGGAATCTGAGTGGCCAAAGAGAAACTAAAAGTCATTACCTCACAGAAATCCTTTCCTAGCTCGGGTTCGCAAACGTTATTTTTCGGCGGAGACAAGCGGCAGCCGGAAATGCGTCTGCGTTCGCAGGCTACGTGTAGAGGAATATTATTTTTGCATTCCCTGCCAGTTCAGAGTACAGTATAATCTGCTTTTACCCATAAAGAAAATATTAAAACAAAGGCAAACAAAACATTCAGTGCGATAGAATACATTTCATTTATACATGATAAGAAATTAAAGCTGTCTTCTATGGGGTCGTGTACTAAGTTGAAATGCTAATTTTCAAATACTAATCAAAAAATACGAAAATCCTTGAAAAGTATTAATCACAATTGCGATAAAATAAGCTTCCTGAAAAAATACTAAAAATAAACAACTGCCATACAAAAATGTTGGTGAAATCATTCAAGGAAATCAATCAATCAGACAACAAGCAAAGAAATTAAATGGAAGAAATCACAACATTCAATCATAGTAGAGATTATAATGACTGAAAATCAAATCAGCACTGTGTCTGTGTAGAGTTGATAAAACCACCTGTTAGGCTATTGTGACCTTCTTAGCTTTTTGAGTCGACACAAATATCTATGATAAGTCTTGCACGGCTTCACCCTTCCTCTAGTCACCTTTCTTGACTTACAAAGCTTCTTCGCATGAATTCATTGCAGCTTTCTCAAGCGCTGGGCCGATTTCTCTTCTTTATCTTTGAGGACTTTGATAACCCGACCAACAATACGGAATCGAATAGTTATCATATATGAAGTATCTGACGTTATGTTGGACGTGAGGATACTGCAGGCGCAATTTCTTGCACAAGAACAAACATGGCGGTCATGATGGAGAACACGTGAGGGAACGCTTAGAAATGGTAAGCGGCTTTTTAAAGTTGTTTTCGCCTTTCCTGTTTGAAGGATAATTTTCTAGGTGATAAATGTCACGATAAATAATGAAATGCCGATATGACTTTTACAGGGAAAGAAAAAGAAGCAGTTTATTGACAAGAAGAGTGCTCACAGCTTCCAGCTAGTTCATCGGAGTCAGAAGGACCCTTTACAAGCTGATGAAGAGAGTTCGAAACATGTCTTGTTACCGGTAGATTCCGGCAGTCAGGTATAGTCTACGCAGCAAATGTTCTACTTGCGTCATTTTGATGTGAAAGCTATGAAAACGAACGTGAGATACCGCCGCTTAGGGCCAATAAGTTTTGGCCTTGATAATTCCGTGGGCCGTAATTTTAGAAAACGATTTCTTGTATTATTTTGATCCTTCTCAGCAGTTTATTGCTTCTGTTTGTTTTTCTCACTTTTAGGGTGCAAATGAAACTGAGTCTGTGTAAGTGTATTTTTTTTTCTTTTTTCAAGTATAATTCCTTCTCCCTCTCGTCATGTTGGCGGTGAAATGTGCAAAACCTACTTACTGTGAAACAACATCCTTTGTAACCTGGCATAGTCAATCGAATGTTTGGAAATTGAATTCAGTTGAAGCCAATCAAACTCAATTTTTGGACTGAGTTCAACTAAGTTCGATTGAGTTTAGCAGTTGAACCAAATTGAACACCAAACTTTGTGTGACTTCGAATTCTAAACCAATCGAAGTCAATCAAACAAATTGAACCCAATCCAACCCGATCCATTAGATTGTGTTTGACTAAGTTCTGACTGAGTTTGGCCACCGAAATCAATCAAACATAATCTAATCGATTACATTCCATTGTGTTTGGTGAATAAATGTGCATGAACAAAGATCATGTTATGCAGTCTCAAAAACACACACAAAAAAGTGTTCTACTGAAGTGATGAGCCTTGAAAAACTTGTTATTGATTTTCAACACCAGTTTTACGAAAATCAAGAGTTTGGAAATTAAATATATGATTGAGTTTGATTGTCCAAGTATTTTTGGGTGAGTTTGATTTTGTTTGATTAATAATAATAATATTGCTGATTGCTGAATTCAGTTGAACTCAAGTCATGGATTGAGTTCAATTGAGTTCGATTAAGTTGGATTGAAATTCAGTTCAACTGGGTTCAATTGGCTATGCCAGGTTTGTAATGATTCTTGGTCTGTAGTTAAGGCTAGTATCTTTTGAAATTTAAAATGTCTGTAAATCTGAATTTAAAGAGGGTTAAACTGATTCATGAATATAAATAAGAATGTCAGGAAATTCTGATTCTAGTGCCAGTGACAAACGAAGAAAGAAGGAAGAGGAGGAACAACATGGCATTTTCTTTGATGACGACTATGACTACTTACAACATGTCAAGCCTCGCACAAACATGTCGCTGGAACCCTTACCAGAAAATGTTACTGTCATAGAGGCCAAAAAGCCATTGCCTTCAGATCATTTGGAGGTAATAGTAGAAATAATAAGATTATGTAGACCTTATGTAGGTCTACTCTCTTCGCTGTACAAGGATGATAAAACACCTCTCCTGATAATAAGCACTCACAGTTTGTTTGGACATAAGCCCATTTTTTCTGTTTATTGAGATCATTTTCTTCCTGTTAGGTTTGATTTGGCTCAAATCTATTTGTCAATGAACTGTTTGGCTACCAGGGCTATATTGTTACTTTACACCCYGTTCAGCTATTTACTGCTATCTCCACTAGAGATTTGTTATTTCTTGCAAGCTTCATCTGATTTGCAAAACTTCCACTGACAGTGTATACTTACATGTAATAATCATTGTACTTATTGTTAAATGCACACCACCACAGGATATCTTACATGTCAAATCAGAAGAAATCAATGAACGTGAAAATTCCAGACTAGATTGTTGACACCTCTTCTCTAAGCTGAAAGATATTTCGTTGATCTATCATTGAAAGTATGCCACTAAGACCTCTGCCACCCAGTTATGCCCATTGATCTTATACATTTGGACTACTTGATTTTCTCTGGAGAACCACCTCAATGTAACAGCCAGAGGTGGTCTTAGAAACATGATTCCTTTGTTCTACATTTGTTTAATTTTGGGTTCAATTTGTAGTTTGGTAGTGTAAAGTTACCAAGTGAGGCATTTGCATCATCATATGAACAAGATGAAGGCTTGCTTAGCCTTGCTGCTCCAACATCAGGTGACAAAATACTTTACACTGTTCTTTGCTACTACGCATTATGCGTGATGTAAATATTTCAAACATTTGCCTTAAATTTGATTTTGTACTCAGTACTTTGCATTGTATTGTTTTATCTGATATGATTATCATGGTTGATTTGAAATTATAGGACCTCGTCCAGACTTGGATCCTGATATAGTCGCAGCTTTGGATGATGCACTTGATCTGGACGATCCTGATAACATTCTAGATGATGACTTTATTTTAAAGGTACTGGATAAATCTGTCTCTGGAGACATTATCTATTAGGGGTGGCGAATGGTCTTTCAAGAACCATGAGTCCTGCAAAATGCTTGACAATATTCACAGCTTTCACAGTCGTGTTTTTAAGTGGCTATGTGCATCTTGTAGTCTCTATTTTTTCACAAAGCTGTCTCATAGTCTCGATTTTTAGCAAGGCTAGAAAGTCTCGGAGTACCAGTTGGTTTGTTTGTTTGTTTTTTTTAAATATAACTGATGTCTGAACATCTTAGAATCTGAATGCCTTGAGCTCGCAATTAAAATTTAGTCTTTGTGAAGTATTGACCAGTGTCACAATTGGAGAAATGAAAATGTCTTGGGCTTGCAAAGAAACACCTAGTCTTGCCTGCTTGCGAAAACTTGCATTTACCATTCACCATCCCTTCTATTTTGCAGGGATTATAGTACATGTACATTTACCAGTTAAGCCTTGGGAGGCATGCTGGTCTTATGGTTAGTGTGCTGGACTTGACTGGATGAAGCAGTCTGTGTTCAAGCCCTGGCCAGGGTCATTGTGTTGGGAAGGGGAGTAGCTAAACAAATACTCTTAATTGAAGGGGTGAGTGCAAAACCATGCTAAGTGACGATTTGGGTGAAAAAAAAAATTTTCGCGAAAGGGCTTGAATTTTTGCATG